CTTCCTCGCCTCACCAATCACCCAAACGACAACCTACAGAGCGAAGCAACGAGCAATTTCGAGTAAATCATTTCGGTTCATGAGCTGGTGGGTGAAGCTGTATCGAAGCACTATGAGATGTTAAGCCAATTAAATCTTAACATTATTTAACAGTTTTATTAATTAATTTATTATAAAAAAAAACAACCAAATAAAATAATAGTCATCGTTATTGCCTGGAAACTGATGACTGTTTGTTCGTCCCATCGGTCATCATAAGGCAGGTCATGACGTCACTGGAAATCCGCATGGAGACGGATATCCTGTGGTTGTCATGTTTTATCAACGTCAACAAACACCTGTAAAATCGCTACTGTTGTGACATATTGACCTCTGAGGTGTAATAATAATGATAATAATAATAATAATAATAATAATAACAACAATACTACTACTACTACTACTACTACTACTACTACTACTAATAATAATAATAATAATAATAATAATAACACCTGAGAATATATTTTACATACAGGTGAATCTTAGACTACAATGTAAAAGACGAACCAGTTGAGCATAACATTACAATAATTACACAAATATCACACACACCATTCCAGATTATCAAACAATGACAAGATAATACTGACAATGATTTATACTCAGTCATTAAATCGGGAAGAACATGAAATCTGGCCAGTTGACGGATTTTGCCAGATTTTGTTGAGTAGTTTCGTGTTCCTTGGGGAGGTGTGGAAATGTGGTGGAGGTGTGGTGGTGGTGTGGAGGAGGTGTAGAGGTGTGGTGGTGTGGTGGGTGAGTGATAAGCAATACCACAATATGGCTGTCACTCATGAGGTTATTTCCGGTACCAGTAGAAATCCTCAACCTATGACCAAATAGCTTAATGGCCTTTCCCTAACAACCAATGAATGGAAGATCTTAATTACTATTCTTGTTGGATGGTTAATGACCTTAGTAGTTATTGAACCCTTCGACACAGGTGGCAAGGACAGGTGAGTCAAAGGCTGCTTGGGGTCATTAAGAAACACCTGTCATCATCACTACCTGGGGGGAAATATTAACCTTACTCACCTGTAATTACGGTACACTATTGTTCCCAACACCTTGATGCACTTATGACGTACTTTACAGCTCAGTCAAGAACGCTCACTTTAAAGTATTTCCTCTCTCTCTCTCTCTCTCTCTCTCTCTCTCTCTCTCTCTCTCTCCGTACTATAGAACATTCAACAGGTCTTGCTTCTGAAAATGTGACAATGTGTAGTGGACGGGAACGCCAGGCACAGATGATTGCTCGTGCTGGCGCTGGATTTAGTAGTCTTGAGTGGCACCTGGCGTTAAAGGTGTCATTACAGCGGTTTCGGATTCTCAAAGGTTCATATGTCAACTTTCCCTCGAAATTGGTGATGTGAGGACGTATCTAAACTGACTGAATTGACACACACACAGGTAATGACCCCCGGTAATGACCTCCAGGTAATGACGCCCAGGTGTACCGTGACTCACCTCCACCTGGACTGACCCTTCCACTCACTGACCATCCGACCCATCTGACCCCGTGACCTTAGATGACCTCCAACCACCCCACCTAAACCCACGTCCTCACCTGCCGGAAGTACAAGGTTCACACGTGTCTCCCTGACCCCACCACCACCACTACTTGAACTCCCATTATTTCACTGAGAGAGAGAGAGAGAGAGAGAGAGAGAGAGAGTGCTTCCTCTATATGATCCTGGTAAAACAGGGTTCCCACACACACTCCATCTCACCAAGGCGTGACCCCCCCCTGGTCTCTCTCACCACCACGCCTCACTTCACCCTCTCCGTTAGTTTCCTCCCCCCTCACCACCTCCCTATCCTTCTACCCTCACCCCCGCCCCCATACCCTTCGTCCTTCCTTCACTCCGGTCAACACTCCCTCCCTCACATCTCTTCCTTCCCTCCTTCTCCTCTCTCATGGACATTTTCCCTCCCTCATTCCCTCCTTGCTTCCTTCCTCCTCCATATAACATCATTGTACATCTGGTATAGTATAGAGAAATTCGACTGCCAGAAATATTTAGGAGTAATGATAAGTAAGAATCTTAAGCCAAGTAAACAATGTGTATTTGCTCGTAACAAGGCTAATAAAGTACTTGGGTTCATACAGAGGAGTGTTAGTTACAAGACTAGCGAGGTCATCCTAAAACTACATCTTGCGCTTGTGAGACCTCACTTGGATTACGCAGTTCAGTTCTGGAAAGAATTCAGAGGAGAATGACAAGACTAATCCCGGGTATTAGGGATCTTGAGTACAGAGACAAGTTAAAGCATGTTACTCTATTACCCCGGACACTAATGTTACTATGTTACCCCGGGCACTAATGTTACTCTATTACCCCGGACACTAATGTTACTATGTTACCCCGGGCACTAATGTTACTATGTTACCCCGGGCACTAATGTTACTATGTTACCCCACAGAGACTCAACATAAGAGGCGATAAGCTGTGAGGAGACAAGATGGCGTACCAGCCGCCCACCTTAACGTTCAAACACACGACTAAACGAAGATCAATTGTCTAGAGGTGAGACTCATGACTTACGACACAGGGGGGAGGGGGGCCATTGTGAGGGGCGACACACACACACACACACTGGAACACCAAAGGACAGCGGTTGGTATTGTGTGGCGGGATGGGGTTGGGTGGGGTGCAGTGAGGGCAGGGGGGGGCTGGGGAGTGGGGGGTCAGTAGTGTGTCACGCGTCTGTGGTCTCTAGTCTTTTGTTTATCTCTCTCTCTGTGTGTAGTCAACTCTCTCTCCCTCCCTCCTTACCCTCACCTTACAGTCGACATGGGTCAAACATTCGCGCCACAACCAAACAAAAAGCACACTATTGAACCTACTCCCGGCCAGTGACCTATAGCACCAAGACAGCTTTACGATGACAGGAAAAGGCTGGCGAGTGACCGTCTTGTGTAGTGGATATTAAGTGCAAGTAACGCGTATACCTGTGTGTGTGTGTGTGTGTGTGTGTAGGTGTGTGTGTGTGTGTGTAGGTGTGTGTGTGTGTGTGTGTGTGTGTAGGTGTGTGTGTGTGTGTAGGTGTGTGTGTGTGTGGTGTGTGTAGGTGTGTGTGTGTGTGTGTGTGTGTGTGTGTAGGTGTGTGTGTGTGTGTGTGTGTGTGTGTAGGTGTGTGTGTGTGTGTAGGTGTGTGTGTGTGTGTGTGTGTGTAGGTGTGTGTGTGTGTGTGTGTGTAGGTGTGTTTTGGATCCTGTGATGATTAGCCCCATCTTATTTCATCTTAAGACCTAACCTAACCTTAAACCTAACCTAACCTAACCTTAAACCTAACCTAAAGTGAATGTTTCAGTAATGCGTTCAGTGGTTGATTGAATTTGTGAACGAGTCATTCATTAACTTGAAGGAATAGAAAAAAAACCCCACCCCATTCTTTCAATCTATACACCCAAGAAATAAACCAAACAAAAAAAGGCTTCGGTTCAAAGAAAATGCAACGATTCGGAAAGAGTTCGTTGATTCATGGCGCCAAAACACATACTTCGCCACTTCACAAGAGCAACACAGGTGAATGAACGGCTCCACCAACAATACACAGAGACTCTCTCCTCGTGTTACCGCCGGGAGGAAAAGCTCATTAGATAAATTAGTCCATGCTTCATGCTACCAAGGACACTTACATCATGCCGTTAGAGTTGAACGCTTCGATACCTGCTTCGTTCCGTTCCGTCTCGTGTCTCTGTCACCCGTGCGATCTGCCCCGTGTGACGTGTTTGACAATCTAACTTAACCTAACCTGGCCTAACCTAACCTAACCTGCTGCTGACTGTGGTAATTCTTTAGCCTACACAAGGTGAACAGCCTACCACTATCTACCGCAACAGAAAGCTGGCGAACGTTCGTCTGGTGTAACTACTATACGCCTATCGCTGCAGGGAGGAGGGAGGGCAAGGCCAGGCGATAGTGGTTGCTCGTATTGGCATTATATTTTACGATACGGGACGTTATCGCCACTGCTTGAACGAGAGGACCTAACTCCCTGGTTCAGTTGATCTGTTCACCTGTCCACAATAGTGTGAAGTCGGCAGGTGAGAGTGAACAGTGAGAGGCAATGGTGAGCCTGGCTGTTGTACCTACCCCTCGAGTCAGCCTCCCGTGACACACACTGTTCGGTGGTCAATAAAGGTGTGGTTAAAAGGCACTGTACACAAACACAACATAACACAAAGGTCCTCACGAGTAACTTTTATTAATGTACTTCCTTAACGAGTAAGTAAGTTAGCGTATGAAGTATTCTTAAGTCACTTTCCTTCAACATAGCTTCAGTACACTGTTGGCAAGTACTGGACATGTTCTGACTTCAGACTTTATGTGGATGGGTTATAAGTTGTTACTTTAGGCTGTGCTTACTAAGTTATATTACTTTTATGCATTTTGGGCCTAAAAGTAGCAAATATAACCCACCCACATACAGCCAGTGCGTGCCCAGTTCTTGCCAACAGTGTGTAACAGAGACTTGACCAATCGCCCAAGAGGCTAACACGTCGGTTAGTGATAAAGATGATAAAGTAAAGAAATATAACCCAAATGTTTCTGTCACCCCTCAGAGTTAAGAGAAAACGGTAGAACTTTCAAGGTATACTATACTAAACTCGATAAAAACCCATTTCTGATTTTTTTTGACGAATTACACCATATGTAAAAGATACTGAATTATAAAATTATACTATTAGCTGCGCCAGACAGCTCTATACATTACTCACTAACGAGACCAGAATATATGACAGCCCACCCAACTATTTTATTCAACTAAACTTAACTGTGACAGCAACAATACTACGTGGCTTTGTTATTCTATGCACAAACTAATATAATAAAGCTTGATGATAAACTATTGTACTTGGATTAATTATACACATATAGTTGGTAGACGGGATCTTGACTTATCTGGTTATTGTGGTGATTTAGTGGTGTGTGGTGATGGTGGTGACTTACCCCTGGTTATGGTGGAGTATGGTGTCAGCACTAGGGTGGATCCTGTGGTGTTGAGTGGACCAGACCCGACCCTCCGTTGACTTCTGACCCTGTACTGACATGCTGAAAAAGACACAACAACATATTCAATGACACAAATACTATGGTACAAACATCATCTCTTAACATATCAAGTTATCGGGTAAAAAAAAATCTCACATTCATTTAGATTCAATTTAGGAGGCAAAATTTTACTGTATATAGAATTGTCAGGGGGAAAGGGAAGGTCAGAGGATGAATGAGAATGAAATTGGTAGCTAATTGTGTGCGAGTATTAATGTACAGTTGTGACAGGTGTACTAACTGGACTAATAGACTGAAAAGCTATTTATTATTTTTTGTTTAGTGTGCCCTGTATATAGTCTGTTCTCTGTGATGTGTTGAATCAGACTTCACAAACTGTAGACTCGTTTTGTACCATTACAGAATCAACCATTTCTCTAAATTTTTCAGATTTGTGGTTATCTGACCGATTACTTAAATTCGCCATAAATAAAAAAAAAAAACCCGTCTTTTTTGGGTCATCCTAGATTAATAAACTTCTTTTTCGTTAATTGTGGGATTACCTTTGTATACCTGCAGTCTGTGTACTGATGAACCAATATAAACCTGTTTGTCATTTTAATTTATTATTACCTATCTACCAGTACTAGGGTCGACAGTACTGAAGTATGTTATGTTACTTGCAAAAATTCCAGTGTTGCAACAGGTGGTGTTTGAGCTTACTTATTTGTTTACAACGACAATAGCAAAACTTATCAGGTATCTGGGAGATTATTTATAATCTAATTTGCCTATTTGACGGTGGAAGGAAGAAGCAGCAGCAGGTAACTTATTTAATCCAGCCATCGTGCTTAGTGTGCATAGGTCCAGTGTTAATATTACAGGAGGAAACTTGTCCTGGAGAAACCTGGCAAGATACTGGGAAAAATTTGTTCACCTTCACATTGGGTCAGTGGGCAGGGACAGTACACAGGTGAGTTGTCTACAGTACCTGGAGACTCAAGAACTGGTAATGTCACACAGAACCACTAACTAATTCATTGTAGTATTACACCAATGGCATTTTTTATCCTAATTACTGCGGGTTAAATGTTTCTTGAAATTATTTTGATGTTTGTGGCTACATATCCCATAGAAGTTAAATATTAGAAAGATATTTATCAGATACTCATGCAAGCTGACATCGGTCCACCATTGACAGGTATACAAATACTGAAGCTACCTGTAATATGCAATACATAGTGCAGGTATGTAGTGTACAGTGACAATACAGGTACAGTACATAGGTCTTGAAATTTCATTGTACTACACCTCCACTGTTACCAACATTTATACCCCAGACTAACACTGTGGAACACCCTACCTCAGTGTTTATCCTGTCGTGTAACACTGGCAATATACAGTATACTTAATCCTTGTATTTGATGATAATAAACCCAATAGTGCAAAAGGTATTCAACAAAACAGCAGACCATTGAATATTTTAAACCTAACTTTACGAGAGCGGTTTCTCGTGCTGAATACAGAGGTGATAACGAAAGTTTGGGAAGATGTATAATTATTGAGTTATAACCCGTCCTACCCTCCTACACCAAAAGGACAGGGCTTCAAAGAAGACGAAAAATGTGGAATTAAAAACAATTAAAAGAACCTAACCTAACCTAATATGGTGAGTGTCCTCACTTATAAGGTAATTATTCCACAAACACTGCCATACGGTTTAGGGTTGTAAACCGTCACCGGCAGGTAATTTAGTTTTTTTTTAACCAGGTACGGGTACAGGTACAGGTACAGGTATTTCAGAATATTAGCCAAGAATATGGAGAACTTTTGCATTATACCTCTGCACATTTTTATAGATTGCATGTTAATTTTTCCAGCTAACTTAACCAAATCAAATCTAACCTAACTTAGGTTTGGTTAGGTTAGTTTAGCTGAGAACTAACTTACGATTTTTGCCTATGTTTGCCTAACAGTAATTAGGAACCTGGATGTTAAGTGATTTGTTGATCGTGTTCTGGGGTAATGGTGAGTTGTCCGATCTTCTGGAATTATTCTTGACACTGGATCAAACATCTCAAATTAGGGTGTGGTTGATGACAGCTTCTACCCATTAAACAAATTCACACCTTGGTGGCCCTTGGGCTGTACAACACCATGGTGGGTGTGACTGTACTATAGGAGCTGTACCAGAAACTATAGGTTGGTTGCTGTTAGAAGATTATGGTACAGTACTGTAATATTAATTTAGCAGGACAATACAGTACTGTATACTTTATTTAAATTTGAACAGTTTATGAACAAAGTAGTAGATGACTGGATAACTGTAAATACAGGTATTTGTTAACTAAACCTTCAGAGTATCACCTACAAAAATGATTATGTATGCATACACTACAGTAGTATTAGAGAATAAGTGACACGTTATCCATATCCCTAAAGCGTATTTGTTTTTGGAGTACTGTACAGTATAGTACAATAACTATATAATAATTTTACTCCTCAGAAATCTGGTAGCAGTCAATAATTGGCCATGGAGAAATCTAAATTAGTCAGCTTCATAGAAGCGGAGGACGACGAGACACAGCCCAACGCCACCTCACCAACTAAGCACCAAACCCCCAGCCACCCTTACAAATTCAACCCAGCTTTAATGCGATGGGGTCTTTATCGCTCTAAACAGTATGTGGTAACCCTTAGTCATCTCAAGCAGAAGGATATTTGGAAGCATCTCTCATGGTTTGTCCTCACCATATTTTTCTGTCTGTTTGTTCTGGGAGTGTGTAGACTTTATTTTGAATTTAATTACAGATCAAATTTTACAAGTTATCCTTTGCCTTACTTGTGTGTGTACCTATTTATATACACTGTAGCCTGTGTGCGGGGAGCTATTATATCAAAAGATCCTTGTGTTTGGGGGTTATTAATGATATACTATAGGGCTGTGGGTCACCGTACAAACTTCCTCTTTGAAGACAATACACATTTAATGGAGGAGTGTGTTGGATTAGAGGAAAGAGCTGATGAAGTAAAGGAAACAAAGGGTCTACAAAAACTAGAAACCAAATCAACGACCAATCAATATGAAGAAGAAAGGAATGTTACCGGTTGAAGGCGGACAACTTTGGCCTCATTAGATCCGCCATCTTGATCACATTAGTATTTTCATTTAAAGTTAGAATGATTTCTTGGCTTGGGTGTGTTTGTACCCATTGATTATCACCCGAGTTGGTCAAATGAAAAATGAGATCGGGAAGAAAACATTACCAGTGCGTGAAAATAACTTTAGCTCAACACAAACAGACAACTGCTTTAAATTGTGAACAAGAACATGCATTTGTATAACATTACATATTAATAAAAATAATTATAGTTATGAGAAAAATAATGTAGCGTTAAATAAAAAAAAAACCCAGACTGTGCAGGTTATCGTAAATACTGTAACTACAAACAGGTAACAAATTAATCAAATGAAAGCCTTTTGTGTTTATACTGTACCTTCGTATGGAGTACAGTAAGACCTTCACTATAATATGATGGTGTTGTAATTAATGTGTTCCTTATGCTTGATACACTATAGTACTATATATGGACCGAAGATGAAGTGTGTCGTGTTATACATAAGGTTTGGTGAGAGCTGCGTTGAGGTAGGCTGAGTGCAACTGATTCTTGTGTGTATTATGACCATCCCTTGCTTTTCACTTTTATGTGTATGGTAGGTATGGTACATTGAATTAATTGTTTTCTAATAGACAACCTGTACTGTAATGGACCTGTACACAGCTAACTAATTATGTATCTAAGTTAAAAGAAGAGAGATATTATAGGTGTCAGATATGAATGGTGGGTATTTTTTTTCTTCTAACACTTTGAGAAGCAAGTGACCAAAGTCAGTGATCATAAACACAGTATTTGTAATATGATGAAATGATTTTGGTGTATTGTATCAGTAAACATATGCACCTTTGGTACTGTGATAATAATGTATTTTTAAGGAACTGAATGGCCTTACTTTGGGTCTGCAAACATTGGTACTTTCTATGCAATTCTTTACTGGGAGCTAAAAGTTTGTGTACATGATATACTGTACTGTAGTCATGTATTGTATAGTGTTGTGATAATATCATACTGGTATTGTTATAATTTTGGAGGTGTTTTGGAAGATGCCTTACATGAGTGTTAGAGCTCTACTAATGAGTGACTGACTGAGTCATGGATGAAACAAGTTTCTCTCACCAGACTTTGTTGATGTAGCTCATAATAGATTCTTGGTTACTGTTACTCTTAAAGATACAAACACTAATGTTATAATTTACAATCTCACACTGTTGGAAATTTGTCTAAAATTGTACATTGTTCATTTAGAATTTAAACAAGTATTGTATTATCATAGAGAATTTATCAAATATTTATATATGGTGGTGAGTGTAAACAGTGTTCACCTCCTGGCCTGAGGGTTGTTGGTTTATTGCCAGGACTATCCCGGTCCATCCAGCTGTAAAGGGTACAGTACCACGACCTATCCTTACAGTCGGGGAAGTGAATGACTGTACAACTGTCTCCTTACTTACTGAAGACATAGTACACCCACCTGGACCGTGGCCCAACACCATCCCTACAGTTCTAATGAAAACTATTTTTTAAGAAAATACAAGTTTTTTTAAAAATTACTATTAAGTAGAATGAAGCAGGACAGTTTAACATTAAGTGCCATTTACACTGATGCTAACAAAAGGGCCCCACACCCTAAATACTGTACACGGTACTCTCATATAAGTGAAGGTATATAATATGTCGATGCTATGTACTGTACTGTACTGTACTGTACTGTACTGTATTGTACTGTACTGTACTGTACTGTACATGTGTTATATGAATTAAATAAAATTATCAATAATAAGACAATAAAATTAAAACAATTAAATAATAATAATCTTGCAAGTACTAGTACCTAATGTTATACTATATAGAACTCAATCTCTCACAAAAGTGCTGAGCTATTACACTTGAGTGTTAATCTGTCTTCATCTTAACAGCTTGTCCTGTCTTCCTTGTGTTTAACAGACTGCCTTTTTGCTAGATCATTGTCAGAGGTACAGTACAGTACCATACAGTATGTAGTTGCTGTTTATACCATAAACTTGACCATACACTGTACTGTATGTAACACAACAAATATTTAAAATGATGATCAAATTCGGGGAAACAGTTTCTCATGTGATTTACCGATACCGTACATACTGGTTCGATTTGATAGATTCCCAAATCAGCAAACTTGTTTTGGATTCTACACAAATGAACTATGGATGTTTCAAGTCCAAAAGTAAAGTATTTAAAATATTGTACCGTACATGCTTATTAATGTGAAATAATATGACTACTGTACACAAATACTTTTACTGGTCCATATCAGAAGGCTATTTATGATTAATTTATAAACAAGTACTGTATATTAGAGTATAACATTCTAGAGGAAAATAATTACAGTATATCAGCCTTTAAACCCATACAGGTAGTGAGTGAGTCAGGTTATTGGTATTGTAGTGAGGGAGTCAGCAGCTTGACCTTGTTAGTGGTCTGCCAGTCTAATATGTACCTAAAGGCTAGATATTACAAGAATACATGATGTTTGTTAAGGATGTTGTCTTAAGTTTAGGTGAAATAAGAAATGATTATTTTACAGGGTAGTTGGTGGAGTGTAGATGAAGTATACTGTACTGTAATAAGAAGAGAGAAAGATATATGTTTATGCCTTGGTGTAAAATGTATTTATTCAGGTAGAAGAAAATTAAATACATAAAGATATATTAACTATTTATACTAAACAAAATAAATCTTTTATACTTTCTATGTGTTTTATTTGTTCATATATTTTCATCCACATAAAACAATAAATCTAATAAAACTACTACTGATATAGTTTATGTTTACATGATATTTTTCTTAGGTGGAACTAAATTTAATTCTATCCCAGTGTCGAGGTACCATCAGTGTGTCGGGGTACATACTGAGGAGGGCTGTGAAGGTGTGCACGGTGGAAAAGTCCACAGCTCGGGAAATTTGAAAGGAGAAAGAACTAAGGTACTTGAATTCAGGGATGGAATGAACATGGTTGTATGCAGTACAGTATGTTATTTAAGAAGAGGGTGATTAGGCCGAGTACGTATAAGTCCGGTGGAACAAAAACACAGATTGATTACTTTCCTGTTAGGTAATCAACGAGGAAGTTTAATGGGGATGTAAAGAACACAACAGGGAAATAATGTGTCTTGCAGCAGAGAGATGGCTTGTGTGTGACATGTTGTTTTAAAAGGTGCAGAGACTTGAAGAAAATGTGGAGAGAAGTGGAAGTTGGAGGAACAGGATGTAAGAGAAATATTTTATGCTAACATGAGAAGATTGAAAACATCCAGTGAGAGTGAGAGGGATTATGTATCAAGATGTTGGGCCAAAATACAGGATGGCCTACTGAGTGTGGCTGGACAAAGGGCCCTGCAACATAATGGTGGAATGATAACATATATAAGAGTGATAAAAGGAGATTGTATAAGATTGTAGTGACCACCATGTTAAGTTTATGTTTGTCTGGGCTGTGATGAATGCATTAAACAGATGAGAAATCCAGCAAGAGGAAAGAAGGGTAGTCGGTACCTGTCAACTGCTGTACCACACTAACTAATCTGCTGCTGTGACAAGTTAGGATAGGTTAAGTTAGGTCAGGTCATACAATACTATGTAATGAAGACAGTAAGGAGAAAGGCCAGTCTAGGTGTGGCCTGACCAACAAGCTCATCTGTTATTACTACATGTTAATATAGGTTAGGTGAGGTGAAGTTGGTTAAGGTAGGTGGGGTCAGGATAGGTCAGGTTCAGTGAGGATGGTTAAGGTAGGTGGGGTCAGGTTCGGTGAGGATGGTTAAGGTAGGTGGGGTCAGGTTCGGTGAGGATGGTTAAGGTAGGTGGGGTCAGGTTCGGTGAGGATGGTTAAGGTAGGTGGGGTCAAGCTAGGTTAGGCTGGTTACAGAGTGAAAGTCAACAAAGACCGGCGCTGAGAGAGTGTGTGTGTGTGTGTGAGGAATGTGGTGAGTGTGTATTGAGGGTGTGATGAGTGTGTATTGAGGGTGTGATGAGTGTGTATTGAGGGTGTGATGAGTGTGTATTGAGGGTGTGATGAGTGGTATTGAGGGTGTGATGAGATTGAGGGTGTGATGAGTGTGTATTGAGGGTGTGAGTGTGTTGATGTGATGGTGTATTGAGGGTGTGATGTGTGAGAGTGTGTGTTGTGTGTGATGAGTGTGTATTGAGGGTGTGATGAGGTGATTGAGAGTGTGGTGAGTGTGTATTAAGGGTCTGGTGAGTGTGTATTTAGGGTGTGGTGAGTGTGTATTGAGGGTGTGATGAGTGTGTATTGAGGGTGTGGTGAGTGTGTATTGAGAGTGTGTGGTGAGTGTGTATTGAGGGTAGGGAGTGTGGTAGGTGTGGAGAGTGAGTGGTGTGTGTGGGTAGTGTGGCTGGGGGTGTGGTGTGTGTACGCTGTTGACGGTTACAATGGTACTGTGTGAATAATATATACTTCTACCCTTGTGCAGTATAGAAGCACTTACTCAAAGTGTACACAACGCCCTCCTCTTACGAGTAGTGCCTATTAATCTATAATAGGATCGATAATACATAAGACTAACCCATACTCCCTAGAGACCTCCAAAATGTCATCATATTTAAGAAACGAAAACAAGAATTATGTGTAATAATAATGATATTTGACCCAGAAACCAATCCCCAGTTTAGGTCCGACATAAACATAAAAAATACCATGTAATTAAAAAAACATAAATAAAATAAAATTAAATAACTCCTGGATCCATACATTCACCATGCATCGGAACCCTATTTTGTAAGGAAGTTTGTGTCCCTCCTGTACCGTAAATCACTGGCTGATAATATAATTGGTGATCTGGCATGCAACGTTTATTATTCGTTTTGGTATTCTCAGATTATTACCAAATAGCAAGATACAGTACGTCTCAATGTGCCCAGCAGTAGTCAAACAAACCAACAGCACTCTGGACTAGTTCCTTGAAAATCGTGCAAAACATCAAATTCTAGAGTTAAAATTTAATGGTTTTCAATCATTTATGACCCACTGCAAGTTAGTAAAAATGGTGATATGAGCTCAAGCATTACTTTAGGAGTTACGGTGAGATATCTTCTTATCACTTCATTTAACTTTTCCACTACACAGTTTGATATGTAAATTGTTTCAGCCAAAAAAAAAAAAGGACAGTGCATTTGTAAGTTCTAATATATTCCTTCTTGTAATGCAGAAATATAATAAATAAATTTGTGAATAAGGACAAAACTCAACTCACCTGAAGTAATGTGTCCGTGTGTGTACTGCAGGCGGGTAAGACCGGTAATGGTGTCGACCCCAAGGTGTGCCAGGCTATGGTTCTATGCCCCCCTGACACGAGGTGGTAGTGGATGCTTCTCATTGTCCCGCTGGAGGCATTCATGAACCACACTTATGAACGATCGATGGTGCTACTCCTCCCCAATCGCACCAGGTCGTTAAAAGCCTCGCGCGGGTGTCAGTTAACCTCTCTGCAATATTGGGTACACAGTTAATAGAATGGATTAATTATGTAGGTGTGGCTGGTTGTTCCTTAGCAAGTGACAGGTGTTAATAGTCAGTACACAAACACAACAACAGGTGACAGAAAATTATAGACACACGCACTAACAAACGATCCACACACACACTAACAAACGATCCACACACACACTAACAAACGATCCACACACACACTAACAAACGATCCACACACACTCATGAGGAAGGTCAGTACTTGCACTCACAGACAAGAATCACTAAGCTGTTCGCCGATATATACAGTAATTGTAATTCAGCAATAAAATCCATTATATTTATTGTTAATATTATCATCATTATTACTCTAAGTCATTATTATGTAGTAATTATTATCATCATGTAACTGTAACTTTACATGGACTGTACTGTGGGTGTTGGCGGTACAGTGGTTGAAGCGTAGTTTTTTGTATCGCAGGTAAATCTCTCTCTCTATGAGCTAAGCAACGTTTCCTCAATTAATTACAATATTTACATGAGAATTCTGAACATAGCACCAGAAAGAGAACTTAAGATTTGAACTAATCATAATCTAGCATACAAAATAAGTAAACATAATAGTTACCCAGAGAATCTATCCACAGAAAACCAATATACAATTATATTTCATGGGTAACTTTAATAATCTTGGAATTCTGTGGCCGGTGAGTTAAAGGTACACCGGTTGTATATTTAACTATCAAACTTATATTCATATGATTAATCTTTCGTTTATTGATTGATAACTTATACAACTGAACAGCTCTATCACTAAAACTTAACTGGTCTCTAGAGGAAACTAAATTACCCAGACAAAACCTTGCCACGTTCGGTTGGATGACACCTTCCACACCACAACCGACCCGGGCGGGGATTAAACCCATGTTACCATAAGGAGAAGCAAGAGCACTACTGCAATATTATGGACAGATAAAGAAAATGTGACTTTTCATCGTGGCCTTTACTTCAGTTCGCTAATAGGAGACCCATTTAGTTTGGGAATAGGAAACCCATGAGATTTTGTCCAGTGAGAATCTAACTATCTATGGACATTTTGGTATTTTGTCCAGCAGAAATATATACCTGGTGAGATTTTGTTGTGACCAGCTCCCACGTAGTGTTGGGTCACTATCTTTATAGGTCGGGGTCCAGACTATAAGAGATTCATACAATGGACATTGCTCGTATCTGATTATTCAAGAAAACACTAACATGGCACAAGAAGACCCCCCACAAAAGTTAGTTAATGTGCTTTAATTTTGTCCACTAACTGAACGTATCGAGTTACGGTTGTTTTATGCTATTTCTGGACGCCATTTTCTTTAGGTTAATTCAGCCAGTAGGGAGAATTTTCGCATCTTTAGCTACGAGAAAGATTCATCCTAAATGTCTTTGAGAATCTGGTCGCAACAGGTTTGTGGTAAGGTCTGCCGTTGTTGCCCAAGTGGTGTTCGGAACTGGCTCTGGCTTAGACTTTGTGAATAGTCTGTCATGGGGGGGGGGAGGGTGCTAGCGATGTTTTATTTTTTGCTTATTGTTTATCTTCTTTTCCCCCTGAAAGATTCTGAAATACTTTCAAAAAGAAGTATTCACCAAATGCTGCCTTGGATCACTATGTTATGAGACTATTGGAAATAATTTCACCGTCACGTGATTAAGCTCTCCGGTCAATCTGTGCAGCTGATAGCCTATCCACACGAAAATCTAATATAATAAATTAAGCTTGGCAAAATACCTTACATGTATACTTTATAACTAACTGTTGGTTTCCCCAATGTTTCAGTATCGCTTTCAAAATGACGACAGTTGTGTTTGTTTTGCATAATCAAAAATTAAGGGAATAAGTTATAATAATTAAGGTATCAGAGGCCTCCGTGTAATGACTGGTGTTCGCCGACCACATTCACGTGTACCCAGTAGCCGCACCTTGTTTTTGTTGTTGCACGGCGGGCGGCAGATTAATGGTGGTGTGATGGATTGCCACAAACTGGTTTGGAAATTATTTCAATGGCCCGTCTCGCCAATATATAATTTCATCATAAGGAAAATTGGCAATGCAGCAATATTTCATATACCAGCATGCTCTCGTAATGCTTACTTTAGCGAGTAATTGATATTTGATCCATAAGAAGTACACATGCACCGCACCAAGGGGAAATAACGTAGCCTAGCGCAAATAATCATATCGCCAAGTAATGTAATTTTGCCAAGATTTATTTTGTGGTGAAGAAACGACTAACGTAATGGTATTTTTGGCATGGCGTAGCAAAATGGCAGTCACTGATAATCTTGACAACGTATTTAACGAAAAAATTAATACAATACTGTGATGTGCTTACTAGCGCATCATGGTTTAACCAGGGGCGTAACTGCTCTCACAAGATGGGAAAAAAAAACATCAAACATTTCAGAAGACTTCTTGAAATGTTTTTCCTCGCGTTTTCTTGTAGATAATTATCAGTGCTTGACACTTCCTTTGTGTAGGAGGCGCTGAGATGTACAGTACTGGGTGTTGTGTGTTAAGTTGCACTGGGTTTTGTGTGATCACCCGTAGAGTGTGTTAAGCTGTACTGACCGAGTACTGCGCTGTCCTGACCATGGTTGTAACTTGTATTATGTTGATCGTGTTGACAAATGTATGCGAAGCTTCACCATGTGGTGTGCTGGGTGTATTAAGAACTGTGCTAAGCTGTACTATGTGGTAAGCCGAGTGCTCTGGGTGTTAGATGCGCTGGTACATTGATGGTGTCGAGTCCTCGGGGTTGTGGGCTACACCACAATATGACGGATGGCTGGCATGTCTGTCCTAAGGCCCTGGTCACTGTCGGCTGCTGTCACTGCTGCTGTGGGTAAGCGCATTCCACACAGTTGCATCGCGGAGAGAACGGATGCCAGCTCACATCTATCTCCCCCAATGTGTGGTTGGCGGAAATTGAGGTCGTGGTCATAAATCTGGTGAACCCGAGCAGGTCATGTGACTTCGTGTTGTCCTAAGGTATGTTGACCAGGCCTCGACGGAGCGTGTACAGCCTGCCATAGGGTGTGCCTGTCTTTGTTCAATCCCTGCCTGATAATGACAACAGTCATTCCTTGACACACACACACACACACACATAATTTGATTATACGACTTCTCGGAGATTTTAATGGACTTCTTTGTATTGGGAGTTACGGGAGCAAATGGCGTACTATTGTTTACAGCTTTTTATTGTGGCGCCTGTAAACAGATGGACATTTCGGGAATTAATTTCACGGTCCACAGCTCGGCTCATTCCACCATCAGCTGTTGACGCTGAAGGATTGGTTTTCTTTTTTCATCTTGGCTGCTGTCAATATTTGGTAAAACGTTCAACACCAACAGTTACGTAAAACAAAACAAAAACTATATACCTATATTATCGAATTTATCGAAAGCAGGGTCGCGGGGCACTCCAGATTATGACATCTGCTTGGAATGACGTGTGACCGCACATCGTACCCACTTCCTGTGCACGTCCAGGAGGGAAACCTTACATTAACTTGGATACATAGGTTGTTTACCGTGTGCAGTAGCCTGGGACAGTCACCACAAAGCTCTGACTGACGCCGAGAATAAGATAAGCTTGTCATTTGTGCATGGATGATGTTAAAGAACCCAGTATTGGACGGCTCTTGTTAGCTGTCTCGGATGACAGGTTGTATCTAACGTTACAAAGACTAACGACACCTCCAAGATGTATGTACACAAGACTTAAGCCAGAACAGGTTGTGAACTAATGGAAAGGGAAGGTAGCGTACCCCATATTAAGTTATGACAAGATTTAAGTTAAACTTCACAACGTCTTTATCAAACGGTAATTGACAAAACAAATTCCTTTATGGACTTTTCATGTTCTAGTGAATAAAAACAAATGTCAATTTACATTCAAAATAAGCAAAGTCTCGTGAATATTATTTTTTTTTATTATAAAGACGTAAATATTTAAGAATTTGTGGAAGTTGAACGTGTTTTAAGTTCGTCTCTTGTACCTTTATCATTAAAACTATTCATTCGTAAGAGTTTGTTATATAATTCTACCAAGATGACGTCACTATACAGACCTTAACAATTACCCGTGATTTATTTCCTGTCCATTTCAATAAATCCAGAAGAGAGGAAAATAACAACTACTGACAAATGCAACAATACCAAGTGTACTGGCAGCTACTGTTACGATAAATCATAATTACCTTTTTGTTCTTCGGTGACGAGGCTCTCCATGTTGTTGCTAGACAGATATCAACACTGTCAGTTATTATTATTGAATGGAACTTCCAATTGTCCTTAATGTAGTTTGTAGTTGCTGGCACAATAGTAACTATAAAATGTTCTTTAATTATATAAAAAAATGGGGGGATAATTCACCACTGTTACATATGTAATTTAAATACAAAGTTGACTGCATTTTGTCAATAATTACAGGGATATAGTAGAGAGCGCCGGGACCAGTGCAGCCCCGACACTCACCCGTCCTAAACTCTTCTCGTACATTGGAAAATTATTTTTTCCAATATACAAAGAATATTACAAAATTATAATGAAATCAAGTAACAAATCCTACTATATTACTATTTACATATATAATGAATATATTTAGCCGCAATAATAATATTAACTTGTAATCAACTTGGTGTAATTTGTTCATTTAATCATCAAGAAAATGGCGTCTTGGGTATGTAAGCTTTTGAATTTATTTTACAAGACTATATTACATTAAAATTATACCCCGTAAGCAGATAGTTTTCTTTATACATCGCGCTGAGACTTGTAGCAAATATACCTCTCTTGAAGACCAAAACACTTGATAATGCTTCTTTTTCTACGTAGATAAGATAAAGGAGGGAGCGTAGAGTTTAATCCTTCCTTTACCTACACAAGGAGTCAAAACAATAAGACTCGCATTACAAATGTTTATTACAATATCACTTTATACATAAATCACAAGGTGGCAGGGTACAACAGCAGTATCTCTCGCTCCATTCATACTGATCAAAAACAACAACAAACAATTTGGCACACATAACGTGGCTTTGACTTACTTAAGAATGCAACTGTACAAATAGTCAAATATATATACAAGGAGTTGATAATGTACAAGAGCCATAGTATTAACCCTAGTATAGTACAAAATTGGGTCCGTTGCAGATAGTTCTAGTATTTTTAGGCTTTGAGTTATATTTACTCGACATATTCTTAACATGAAAAATGAAAACAAAACAAATAATAATAATCACTTTAGGGGTAAGTTTTCTTGCTTATATCACAAGAACAACATTGTTTTGGAATTTAGGTAGACAATTGATTTTCATAACAAATTATCTATTTTTTTTAATCAAATTAGAATGTTACTAACAGCATTCAGCCAATCCAAAATTAATTCTATTATACCTTTTAACAAATCAGGACATTATAATGTAAGATAATCCCTCAAAGAAAAAAAAAAGAAAATATATAAGTCCATTTAATTAACTGCAAAACCCCCGGGATCCGCTCGAGAGGTAGACCAAGTCAGAGTCACAGACACACACACGAACACAGGCGATGACGGGCGATAATAACAAAGTGAACTTGGAGTAAATAGTTGAGGAGATAGTTAAGGCTCACACGAACGATGGATAGTCCACATAACTGAAGATGTAAGAACTTACCTTTATGATTAAGTAAAGCTAAAATATAAGAAAATCGTTTATATATATCATTAAATTTGCACCAAGACTAGATTTAGTAAATAGCGTTCACGTGATAAATGTTGGGCGACAGATTTCACGTAAAATTTCTAAAAGATTGTACATGAATTTAGTCTTTTAACTGATATTAAGTGAAAGTATTTAGTTAAGGTAAAGTCTTAGTGTTTTTTTTTTTATGTTACATTTAAACATTATTCTTATTGGAGCTTCAGTCAACCAACCAGATCCATCTCTTTAACATCTTCAGTTGTACAAACCTTTTAAAAATCGTAATCTACATCACTTTGAACGGAATACATTATCAGCAAGACTTAACAACTAGTGTTTTATAAATAGTTACATGATGAGTACAAAACATCTGGGACAAGGTTGTAGTGAACATTTCTGGTGCATAGTATCGTCCGCCCCGCTGACATCATCATCATCAACACTCTGGCACTGGAAGACTCTCACGGATCCCATTCTTTGATTATGGCAATTAAAAGGCACCTTAGTTCAGCTTTGTTGAGGGATAAAAAGATTTGGCCATTTCGAGTTTTTACACGACAATTGTAAGACCTATACGAAATTTGTTTTAAATGCATAGCAGCAGTAATATAGAGGAAAAAAAACTTAAAACAAGAAACATTTAAATACATAAGTTTGGCCTCTGAGAATTCACAATATTTCCTATGAATCAAAGAGCACAGGGCACTCCTACATTTGGCAACTCGGAACCAGAAACTCTCATCTATTATTACGCGAACAATCAACAAAGTTTTGGCAACGTGAACTGGAGTATCAGGTTGATAGTAGGTCACATATAGGCACCTTGTTAACGCATTTGGCCGCTTGAGACGTGATGCTTACTGAAGAAAAAAAAAAGATGAAAATGAACATTGTGTTGTGATACTACCATTTGACCACTCAACTTGCACTGATTGTTTTCCGACTGATTTATTGGCTTCGTCAACAGAGGTCACTGTCCTCGCACATGCCAACTGCCGTCAATGTCTCTCTCATAAATGGCCCGGGCAGAAAATAGAAAATTCGTTAATTAAAAAATATGGAGCGTCCTCGCTGGCAGTGTTCGTGACACTGTGTCGAGTCGCACTTTTGTGTACAACTAGAAGCGTAGTTTGAGTAACACCTTCACGAGATATAATGGGCACAGTGACGTGGTCCTCCTCCTCCTCCTCCATGTGACGAGGTCTTCCTCCTCCTCCTCCTCCTCCATTTGATGAGGTACCGAGGTGCTCCTCCTCCTCCTCCAGGAGTCTCGTGTCCTCACTGATGGGAGGGCCCCGTCTACCACTTCAGCCCTAATCCGCCTCGCCCCCCACGTCTAGTCTCTCGTTGAAGGACGTCCTCGCCTGCAGGGGTGTCGTCGCCTCCATCAGGGACAACATCGTCTTCAGTGACGTCATCTCCTTCAGGGGCGCCAGAGGGACCATGGTGGGGTACGCGGACTCGTGAGGGTTGTGTCGGGCTTCTTAACTCCTTATAAGTTATAGGCTTTGGCGGCTGCTATATATCTTCCTCGCTCAGCTGTGATCGCCGCTATACGTACTCCTCGTTGGGTTTGGGTGTGCCCCGAGCGCTCACCCGCCCGTTGGTGGTGTTGTCCGGTAGTTCGGCTATGTCCTTGAACACGCCCACTAGGCTCTCGAAATTGGGACCCCAGTTGAGCAGATAGTCCCAGCCGAACGTGGAGCCGTTGGGTGGCTTGTAGGAGCTCATGTTGCTCAGGTCGTCGTCTGACGCCACCAGTGTGCTGAGCGAGCCTCGAAAAGAATCAAAGCCGTCGTAATTCTTGGCAGACTCGTTGTCGTGCTCGTTCTCGTTGTCTACCTCCGCTAACTTGCTGAAGATCATGTTGCCAGGACCAAAGTCGCGGGTAACCTTCTCGTAATTGTTCTCGTACTCAAACTCTGAACAAGTGAAGGAATCATTGCCTGACTCGTCGGTGGAGGAGTCTGGAGGCTCCAGCAGCTCTGTGTTGGTCTCGATGAGTTCTGCCAGTTTGTCTTTGCGTTGGTTGTCCTCACTGGAGGAAGACACAGCGTCTAACGTAGACACCAGCGAGGAGTTGCGCGGCCTCGTGTTGAGACGCTCGATCTCCTCCGGCGTGAGGCCCAGACTCACGCTGCTGTCGTGTTTCTTCTTCTTCGTCGACTGTGACGATGCGTGCATAGACCCAGACGACTGAGACAGGTGTGACACAGGTGAATTGAGTGATCTCTCACTAGTGGACATGACGTCCTTCACACCTGGCCCTTGTGAGGTGGCAAGGAGAGCTGTCTGCAGGGGTTTGCCGCTAATGTCCTGCAATGTGAGAATACGCGGCGTCTGCTGCGACAGTTCTGAGGAGGGGGAGAGGCGAGCAAGAGGTGTAGACTGCATCTTGAGTACAGAGGGCGACTCCCGCGGCGCCACAGGGTTAGGACTCTGCCGCATCAGGTTGCGGGGACTCTCGCGGTGCGGTGTGTTGGGGAAGTTGTGCGGGGAGTGGCGGTGGTTGTGCTTGTGGTAGCCCGGCACGTGAGGGTTTGTCTTATACTTCCGCACATTGCCGTCTCTGTAACCCTTATAGTGGTACACTATGTCGATGTCGGAGGGCGCGATGGACGAGGCGTTCTCCAGGTCGTAGTGTTCAGGGGCCTCTGAGTCGGGTATGTGGCCCAGGCCAGCCATGGTGTCCCGCTCCTGCAGCTGTGACTCGTCCACCCTGAGGGGGACACCCGGCGACTTGTTCATCACCTCCCGCTCGATTATATCAGGTCTCTGAGGCCGCTCGTGATCACGCTCCTTGTACTTCTTCGTCGCCAGCTCCTGAGAGAGGTGTGAGCGGAGAACGTCGTCCGTCATCTCCGCACTCTCCACGTAGCCGGAGTCCTGCGGTGACCTCCCGGAATCAGAGGAGGTGTTGGCGAGGAGAGCAGACCCGTTCTGCTTGACGTGCACACCGCCTCTCTCTCGTCGCTGGCGCCTGACTCGGTAGACGATGAAGGACACCAGGATGGCGACGAGGAGGAGTACGAAGAAGACGATGACGAGGGTGATGCCGATGGACAGAGGGTCTGTGGAGGTGGCTGTACCCAGGTCTGCCGCTGTGCAGTCTGTGACGAGCGCCACCCCGCGAGCGACAGCCTCCAGCAGCGACCCCGTCGAGTTGAGTGGCTGCACCTCCCCGTCCACACTGAAGGTGGACATACACCCCACGAACCCTGCCGGAGAGAAAGTGGATTAGCTTAACTCTGTCTTAATTACTGAACTGTGGATCATAACACACACACACACACACACACACACACACACACACACACAAGCTCTCATGCATCAACCGAGGAGAGGGAGAGGTAAAAACAGCAGCCAGATAAACCAGCCACATAAATCTTGGTGACATGACACAAGACAGCCAAGACGAGAGTTAATGACAGCGGGGGGACGCCACAAGACCTACCCGCTAACACAGTCACTCCCTCCTCTACCTCCTTCTCCTCATCTACCTCCTCCTTCTCCTCATCTACCTCCTCCTCCTCCTCTTCCGGAAACACAACTATAAAGAATATTTACAACCAACCTCCTCAACTTCACCTGTAAACAATCATTAAAATGACCCATTGAACATAAATAAACAAAGAGACATTTTCAAAGGCATCATAATAAAAGAGCATAAGTCCGTAGTGTTGTCCGTGATACTTTTCCAACCTGGTTCTTCCCTGGCCGCCCTCATTACCACAACATCAGCATCTCTAGACTACATTTGCTGCCGAGAACAGGTTAGGGTGGTGGCGGCAACTACCTGTATACTCTACATTTCTGCAGGTTAATGAATAGTATAGATAAAGACATTTGTTGCAAGTTATAGCTGACGTTAGATGAATATGATTACCATAATTAAGAGAGAGAGAGAGAGAGAGAGAGAGAGAGAGAGAGAGAGAGAGAGAGGTGTCGTCAGTGCAAATCACAGTACAAGCGAACCATGAAACGCTAATAAAAAATGGCTCGTGTACTGGCGTTACTGATCGTTCGTGCTGGCGTTGTTTAGAGGAGGAGGAGGAGGAAGATCAGACTATCGCCATGTTAATGTATTCCTGAAGCTTTATTCTGTAACTTGTTCTTAGTTCTTCCTCTCCCCTCCCCTCTTCTTCCCTCCCCACCCCTTCCTCTCCCCTCCCCTCTTCCCCCTTCCCTCCTCTCCTCCCTCCCTAACCTCACACCTCCCCCTCCTCTCCCTCCTCCTCTTTCCTCCCTCCCTCCAATTCTTCCCTCCTCCTCCTTCCCTCCTCCCCCTCCCCACTTACTTCTCTCAAAAGTTCTCTCCCTTCATTGCCCTCTTCTCTCTCACCCTCTTGCCCCTCGCCTCATTACTCTTCATTCCATCTTGTAGTTCATTATTTACTAAGTAATTTACATGATTAGTATAATTAAGTTCATGAGATATAATATATTCGTGTCTTTATTTATTTTCTAAAGAGTTACAGCGATTTAAATCTGCAAAACGATTTCACTTGGATTAATAAGCATTATATTATCCATAAAACATTTCAGATTAATTAACATATCAAAATAACATCAATATTTAAAAATTTCTTAATATTTTTTGCAAATTATAAAAGTTAACCTCAACATTTCTCTATATCCCATTCTCTAGTCGTTCTCTATCGTTCTGGAGGAGTAACTCAAGTATTTTCTCATGTTATTCTATGTCACAAAGATACACAGTATTGAACACCAAGACAAATTCAGTTTGGGTATAATATTAATTCAAACTAAATCACCACCCAAGAAGAAGAAGAAGAAGAAGAAGAAGGTGGTGGAAGATGAAGAGGAAAAACAAAAAGAACAAAAGCAATAAAAGAACAAGAGAAGAGAAGAGAAGGCTGTATTCCCTCCCCCCCCCTTTGCTCATCCCTCCTCCTCATCCCCCCTGCTCCCACGCCCCTTTCACATCTCCTAATGGTCATTCCTTGTCGAGCGAAGAGACGAGGGTCCTCAACAGTCCACAAGAGGGAGGGAGGGGGGAGGGGGGAGGAGAGGAGAGGGGAGGGGAGGGGGGGGGAAGAGCGAGGGTAGCCTGTCTTGTCTCCGTTATGATGTATAATGTATGAGATGATGAGCTTGATGGGAGCGATAGGCAGGCAGTGAATGGAGGGTTGATAGAGACGATAGGCAGTGGATCAAGAGGTGTGTGTGTGAGTGTGTGTGAGTGTGTGTGAGTGTGTGTGTGTGTGTGTGTGTGTGTGTGTGTGTGTGTGTGTGTGTGTGTGTGTGAGTGTGTGAGTGTGTGTGAGTGTGAGGAGTGTGTGTGTGTGTGTGTGTGTGAGAGAGGTATACACAACTTCCCTGGACTTCTGTTTGGTTCCTCATCCCTTACCACCGCCCACCGCCCACAACAATACTGCCCACATCACAAACTGAGGGAAAGAGTTTAGCCTCGAGACCTTTGAGGAGAAGAAGAAGAAGAAGAATAAGAAGAAGAAGAAGAAGAAAAAAGAAGAAGAAGAAGAAGAAGAAGAAGAAGGTTTTATTCTACCAGCGTCTATGATTCGTCAGCCATCATACCTCAGATTGGGACGACCCTCCCTCCCTCCATCACTCACTCTCCTTCCCCTGTTATAGTACGTGGGTATGTGGATCTATAATATGAAGTATGTGTGGGTATGTGGGTTTGACGTGGGGGTGTGGGTAGGGTGAGGATTGGGGAGAGGAAGGTAGTGGTGGGTTAGGAGACATCAAGGTGAGGTCTGAGGCAGCACTAACTTATACCACACCACACCACCACACTACACCACACCACCAGACTACACCACACCACCACACCACACCACCACACTACACCCCACCACCCCACACCACACCACAGAATTACAGTAGTGTGTGTGTGTGTGTGTGTGTGTGTGTGTGTGTGTGTGTGTGTGTGTGTGACTCCTTTAAATGTCACTTAACGTAATTGTAACTTAATATAATTTACAGTTAGTATCAAACCCAATGAGGTGGTTACATTTAAAGGGAGATTATATTTAAATTTAAGGGAGTAATTACACTTAAGGGAGCTACATACGTCGCCTGCCCCATCGCCCTTAATTACCTAATTCCTCCCTAAACCACAGTAGTAAATATCACCTTCTGTCAATATATTAACGACCCCCATTAATGACTTCCCTCCCTCCTTCGTCTCCTCTTCCTGCCCCCTCCTATACCTGCTCCTCCTCTCCCCTTCCTGCCCCCTCCTATACCTGCTCCTTCTCCTCCCTGCCCCTATCGTTAATTATCACCTAACCCACCGAGCGAACAGAATGACCACAAATGGTGAAGTATTTCTTGTGTGGTTGGCCCCATGGGTAAACACTCTCCCCCTCTCCTCTCCTCCAACCCCTCCTCCCTCCCTAACCCCCCTCCTCCTTCACCTCACCTGTGTTTATTTATCCTCGATCATCAACACAACTAATATGATAAATCAAGTCGTTCTTTTAGGATATTTATTTTCTTCATGTTTTTAGGTAATTAATTAATACTCACTGTTTTGTATTTATGTTTAGTCCTCATAATACAGTCAAGGTGAGGTAATTGGTGAGTGTGTGTTAGTCATATGAGGCGTGAGGTACTGACTGACTGACTGATTTGCTAAGTTTTCTAACGTCTATTAAACTTAAAGGAACGGCCAGGGGTGGGTGGAGGTGGTGAAGGGAGGTGTTAGGGGTGGAAGGTGAGGGTAGGGTAGGGTAGAGGGGGGGAGGGAGGGATGTAGGGGTGGAAGGGGGTAGGGAAGTAAGGGTAGAAGTGGGGGGGGGGTCGGGGTAAGGTAGGGATGGTGGAGGGGGGAGCTATTAACCCCCAACACACGCGATCATCTCATTTAATGGCCCCATACAACTGGCGTTTCTTCCTTCACTCTCCTCAAGGACTGCAGTTATCTATTTCATCGGCGGGGTGTATAACTGAGTGGGCCAGCGTGACACATTTGGAGCCTGGTGGGGGTGTGGGGAGCCTGGTGGTGGGGGTGTCAGATAGGGGCGCCCCTCTACCTACTCCCACCCCCCCCCCACACAGGATCATCTCATCTCTAATTAAGTTGAGGTTATGATACAAGTCTTAGTGTTGTGACCTGACATTAATACACCAGCCTTCACTAACAACACGACGATGATAACAACAACAACAACAACAACATACACCTGAGGTTGAATATCGGTCAAATTGTCCCGTCTCCATTTAGTTAATTAACCTTGACCTACCTGGGTGATGGATGACCTGCCTTTACAGGTAAATGACTGACTTGACTTAAATCATTCTTAATTATGGGATTGGACTGTCACTATGTCGTGAGGAGGAGGACACGACTTGCCCTGCCCTGCCCTGACTCTTAAGAAGGGATGCATCACGAGGCTCATGACTACTGAAGCTTTGATGTAAGCTTATGAAGCTTTTAATTGATAGATAACCTGACCCAACTTCTATGAATAATGGGATAACCAGAGGAGATCTAGTCTCATATGACCTGACCTGATCTGATCTGACCCTCTTCTCTACGAGGGAAACACCTTATGACTGAAGGTAAGGTTGACGACCTACCTGTGAGGGTGTAGGGCAGCTGGCCGGAGAAGCGAGGCGCAGAGCCCAGCGTGAGGGAGGTGAGGTAGGCGTCGAGGAAGTCATGGATGAAGGGCAGGTCCAGCTCGTCCCCGACCATGTTCCCGTCCAGTATGAGTCTGAGGGCCGACTGTTCCGCCAACAGCGTCAGGTTGTGCCAGTCTCCCTCGTTGACAGTCACGTCAGGGATGGTCATGTTGATGGGCTGGTTGGCACCCAGTTTGGACGTGTACTGTAGGAACCCGCCACGAATCTCCACCAGAGTGTAGTCATTGTTGGTGGCGGAGTGCAGCAAGAGGCCGTTCTCCATCCGCGTCCGGAAACTGAAGGAGAGGCTCTTGGGAGGAGGCGGAGGAACCTGGCGTGGGTGTCGGGCGCGGCTGTGGTGGACGTTGATCTCCCGTGACCACCTGGAGTGTTGCTGGTAGAGGCGCGGCAACAGCTGACGTCGCCGGTGTTGCTCCGTGATGAGGAACTCGACGTAGGCGCCGCGGGTGAAGGAGGCGGGGCGTAGGGAAGCCTCACAGTCAGGAGCCACCAGTCCGTTGGCACAGCGGCACATGTGTGTCGACCAGCGGTCCAGGCAGGTGGCACCCTCACCACACGGGTTACCAACACACACGTCAGCCACCCGCTCACACGTGTCAGATATACCTCGGGCCTGGGGGGGGGGGATTATTCAATAAATAAAAGTCACAAATAAACTAAAAAGTTTGGCCACTAAACTATTACCTGACCTTAACTATCAGTGCAATACAGTACATTACAGTACAATACAGCACAGTACAGTAGAGTACAGTACAGCACAGTACAGTACAGCACAGCACAGCACAGTACAGCACAGTACAGCAGAGCACAGTACAGTACAGCACAGCACAGTACAGCACAGTACAGTACAGTGCAGCACAGTACAGTACAGTACAGCACAGTACAGCACAGTGCAGTACAGCACAGTACAGTACAGCACAGCACAGTACAACACAGTACAGTACAGCACAGCACAGTACAACACAGTACAACACAGTGCAGTACAGCACAGTACAGCACAGCACAGTACAACACAGTACAACACAATACAGTACAACACAGTACAACACAATACAGTACAACACAGTACAGTACAACACAGTACAGCACAGTACAGTACAGTGCAGTGTAGCACAGTACAGCACAGTATAGCACAGTACAGCACAGTGCAGTACAGCACAGTACAGCAGAGCACAGTGCAGTGGAGTGCAGTACAGCACAGTACAGCACAGTACAAAGCAGTACAGCACAGTACAACACAGTACAGCAGAGTGTAGTGCAGTACAGTACAGTACAGTACAGTACAGCACAGTGCAGTGCAGTACAGCACAGTACAGCACAGTGCAGTGCAGTACAGCACAGCACAGTGCAACACAGTACAGTACAGCACAGTACAGTACAGCACAGAACAGTACAGCACAGTGCAGTACAACACAGTACAGCACAGCACAGTGCAGTGCAGTACAGTACAGCACAGTACAGAACAGCACAGTGCAGTACGGTACAACACAGTACAGTACAGCACAGCACAGTACAGCACAGCACAGTACAACACAGTACAACACAGTACAGCACAGTACAGCACACCACAGTACAACACAGTACAACACAGTACAGTACAGCACAGTACAGCACAGTGCAGTGCAGTACAGTGCAGTACAGTACAGTACAGCACATTACAGCACAGCACAGCACAGCACACACAGCACAGCACAAACATTACAACACAGCCTACTGTACTCTACAGTAAGTAATAATTTACGAAAGATAACGAGATGTAGCGATCTGTAGTGCCAACAGTTACCTGTAGTGCCAACAGTTACCTGTAGTGCCAACAGTTACCTGTCGTGCCAACAGTTACCTGTCGTGCCAACAGTTACCTGTAGTGCCAACAGTTACCGTCGTGCCAACAGTTATGTAGTACCAACAGTTACCTGTAGTGCCAACAGTTACCTGTCGTGCCAGCACAACGATTTAGCAGTTACTGTGGTGCCAACTGTCGTGCCAACAGTTACCTGTAGTGCCAGCAGTTACCTGTCGTGCCAACAGTTACCTGTAATTGCCAACGCCAACAGTTAGTGCCAACCAGTTACCTGTAGTGCCAACAGTTACCTGTCGTGCCAACAGTTACCTGTAGTGCCAACAGTTACCTGTCGTGCCAACAGTTACCTGTAGTGCCAACAGTTACCTGTCGTGCCAACAGTTACCTGTAGTGCCAACAGTTACCTGTAGTGCCAACAGTTACCTGTCGTGCCAACAGTCAGTTACCTGTATGGGGCCAGAGAGGTTGAGAGGTCTGCCGTTGATGGAGGCGGTCTGGATACAGCCGATGAAGTCGTCAGCGAGGACCTGGCCGGGCCGCTCCTGCAGGGGGTCCACCGTCATCACTCCGCCCAGGTACAGTGGCTCGTTGTTGAAGTTGAGGGTCCTGCCGGGGAGAACAACACTCATACAGGAGCTACACTACAACACCATTAACACTCATACAGGAGCTACACCACACTATGGTTCTTAACGCATAATGAAAGTCTAGTTTTATTAACCAAACACCAAGAAGATTTAATATTAAGCGAATATTACTGTTGGTTATGGGGCATTAAATAAAACAGTCAGTGCTGGAGGTAACTGTCTAGGGTCGTGTACTCACCCAGTAGGACCTGTGTCGTCGCTGTAACAGGAGGAGTCGCCAGGACGACACTCGCCACAGGTCTCGCCGTTGTGGGTGCAGGTGGCCACGCTGAGGGAGATGACGCGGCCGTTACGTGTCGCCGTCAGCTTGTACCACTTGCCGTCCGCCACGTCACGCCCCACCTGGATCCTGGAGATGGCCGTCCGCGCCCCGCCGAAACTAAAGCGAGGTTGTCCGCCCCTCAGCTCGATGGCCACGAAGTCTGAGCGCCCGCCCGTCTGTAGGCCGTAGTTGTACACGAGGAGCGCATCTGGCTTGTTGGTGGAGAAGGTGATGGAGATGTCGTTGGTGGTGGAGTCGAGGGTTGGGAAGGTCATGTACGACAACTCACTGAAGCTGAAGGTAGACTTCTCACAGTGGGTTCCGTAGAAGTTGATCCTGCAGGAGCAGCTATAACCGGGCTTGAGGGAGACGCAGGTGCCGCCGTTGAGGCAAGGGTTGGGGCGGCACGACTCACTAGCTAACTCACACTGGTTGCCGCGGTAGCCGGGGCGACACAGGCAGAAGAACCCTCCCTCCAGCGTCGTCTGACACGACCCGCCATTACGGCACGGGTTGTCATCACAGGCGTTGGTCTTATCAAACTCACACTGCAGCCCCTGGCGGGTGGGCGGACACGTGCACATGAAGTGGAAACCTTTCCTGGCGCACGTGCCACCAAACTGGCAGGGGTTGGGTGAACAGGGGTCCTGACGCAGCTCACACCTGGGCCCCGTAAAGCCCTGGCGACACCTGCACGACACGTCATGGCGGATGAGAGGTGAGGTGAAGATGAAGCTCGGGGAGTCGGTGATCTCCGTGTCACCATAAGCATGGATGCCGTGTGAACATTCTCCGCCATTCTTACAAGGTGTGTCACTGCAGGGGTTATAGTCAACTATGAGCTGCAGGCCCTGAAGGGACTGAGTCAGACTCGGCTCTTCGGCTGCCAGTTTACGAGTCACCTCGGCTGGTCGGAGGAAAGAGTTAGTGCCAGAGCCAGCCACAGTCAGGGTCAGGTCAGTGTGAGAGTCGACGTCCAGCATGGAGTAGATGCGCACCTGTCCGCCCGCGAACATCGGCAACAAGGTGTCTATGAAAGGTGTGTAATACAGGCGAAGGAACCGCTCGGCCGTGACGTTGAGGAGCCGCAGGGTGAGGCTGTTATCCAGGGTGGCGTTGTCGAAAGACTCGAACTCGAGGGTGACCTTAGAAGTGACGTCTGGATGTTTGCCGTCATTCCCCGAGACGCTGAGGGTGTAGGTCCGGTCCCGCGGGACTCTGGCGGCGTGCAGGTTACAGGCGTTAGGGATGGAAAAGATGGCGGCGTCTTGGGTGAGGATCTGGCAGGAGTACTGGCCAGCGGTGTCAGCATCGTTGGGGTGAACGTCCGCCACCTTGCCTCCCGGGAACACTCCCTGGAACGTCTGCACCTTCACCGTCACCGTCCTTGGTGTTGAGGGTGAGTCGTTCTTGTCCAGGACGATGATCGAGACGGGGTACTCGGACTTCATCTTGGGCTTACCGCTGTCTTCAACCTCTATACGGAAGGTGAGTTCAGGTGTTGTCTCCCGGTCGATACTGCGGGTGGTCTTGACCTCCCCCGTCGCCTGGTCCACGGTGAAGAACTCGCGATGTTCACCGCCCACGATGTAGTAGGTGAAGGGCTGGGTGTTGGGTGCCAGGTCGGGGTCTGTGGCACTCAGGGTCATCACTGACGTCATCGCTGGCTCGTTCTCTGGCACGTACCCTACGATATCAGGCGGGTCAAACTGAGGTCCATTGTCGTTAACATCGACCAGTATGACCCGCACGAGGGTGGTCCCGGTTTGGGGTGGCGACCCGTTGTCTATGGCGCCCACCGTCAGGTTGTACACCTGGATGGTCTCACGGTCTAGCTGAGCTGTTGTCTCTATGACGCCGCTCTGGGGGTCCACCTTGAACACCTGGCCCAGGTTGCCGCCGATGATGGAGTAAGTGAACTGGTTGTTTTGTGGCTGAACGTCTGAGTCAACAGCAGCGACGGTCAGGACGAGGGTGCCCACCAGAGCGCCCTCAGAGAGTCTCGTCTCGTACAGCGGCTGAGAGAACACGGGAGGGTCGTTCCCGTCTTGGATGGAGATAGTTATCTGCGCTTCGTCAGTGTCGTTACCACGGATGCTGCCGGCGTTCTTGGCCATCACCGTGAGGACGACTCTGTTCTGGCTTTCACGGTCGAGGCTACGAGCTACTGTGATGACGCCCGTCGTGGGCTGGATGAGGAACCCTCGGTCGTTGCTGGCGCCGACCAGGAGGTAGTACACCATGCCGTCTTCTCCCTTATCCTCGTCAGTGGCTTGGATGGCGCCCACAGACGTGCCGATCTGTGCAGACTCCGACACTGTGAACTGGAAGACAGACTGGATGAAGCGAGGGAAGAACTCATTGCGTCCTGTGACGTGTACCACCAACGCTGTGGAGCCCCACTGTGAGGAGTCAGCGTTATTGGCAGCCCTGATGTCCAGGACGTAGCGACTCTTCTTCTCGTAGTCAAACACCGTCTTGGAGGTGACCACGCCCGTGTCTGGGTCAACAGCGAAGAACTCCTTCCCGTCGCCGCCCACCAGCGTGTACTGGATGGCCGCGTTACGAGGAGAGTCAATATCCGTCGCATTTAACCTGAACACTGTTGTACCAGCGTTGGCGTTCTCCGCGATGTAAGCGTCATACTGCTGCTGACTGAACCTGGGAGGGTTGTCATTAATGTCAATGAGGATGACAGTGAATATGGCTGTTGACTGTAGAGGAACAAACGCACCGTCGTGGGCCGTGATGTTCAGTTTGTACACCTTGACGGCGTCGTAGTCCAGCGGGTGCATGATGGTCACTGCTCCTGTTTTTTCGTTGATGGCAAACTTGCCAGCCTCGTTACCACTCGTGATGGAGTACCGAACAAATCCGTTGGGGCCTTTGTCGTTGTCCTTGGCAGTGAGCTTGACGATGTCTGACCCCAGCGGCTCATTCTCGGGCACTATGACCTGGTAGCTGAGAGCTGTGAACTCTGGCGCGTGTTTGTTCTCACCAGTGACCGCCAGGGTGACGAGGACTTCATCCTGCAGTGGAGGGACGCCACGGTCTAGGGCGCGCACCAACAGGACGAAGTGTGCGTCTATTCTTCCCTTCAGCTGACGGGCGACGGTGATCCAGCCCGTCTTCTGCTCCAGCACGAAGAAGTCAGTACCATTACCGCCCACCTTCTGGTACTCGATCTCGGCGTTGATGCCGAAGTCCCGATCATCAATGGCCTTTAACTGGATGATAGACTGACCTATGGTGGAGCTCTCAGGGACGGGGGTAAAGTAGCTGTCTTCCGAGAACCTGGGCGGGTTGTTGTTGGCGTCCACCACGTTGATCACCACCGAGCTCTCAGAGGACATGGGCGGCTTCCCGTTGTCGGTGGCCACAACAGCCAGGTGGTATTGGTTCTCAGGTGATGGCCCCTTGAGCGTGTGCTTGTACTGGAGCGCTTGTTTAGACAAGATCTCTCCACTTGCTGGGTCAACACTGAAGAAGTCTGATGGAAACTTGAGGGAATAAGATATAACACTGTTTGGTCCTTGTTTGTCCCGGTCTGTTGCTGTCACCTGACCCACGAAGGCCACGCTGCGCTGTAGCTCTGGGAAGTTGAAGACGTAGTAACTCTGCTCGAACTCTGGGGCGTTGTCGTTCTCGTCCTGGACGGTGATGGTGAGGGGAGTCTCGGCCCGCCACGACCCGTCAACGGCGGACACCTTCAGGAGGTACTCGTCGTTCAGCTCGCGGTCGATGGCTCTGGCCACGGTCACGTTACCACTCACGGAGTCAATGTAGAATTTACCGCCAGGATTCTCAGTGAAGCTGTAGGTGGCATTGGCGTTCTCTCCGATGTCTCGATCACTTGACGTCACCTGGATAACAAATGTTCCCACCTCCGCGTTCTCTGTCACGTTGACGCTGAACAGCCGCGTGAAGCGCGGCGGGTTATCGTTCTTGTCCTGCACTGTGACCACGACCATGGCTGTGCCCGTCTGTGCCGGCGTGCCCTTGTCCACCGCCTCCACCGTCAACGTGTACACCTCCACCTCCTCCCGGTCCAGCTGGATCTTGGTATAGATCTGGCCCGTCTCAGCGTCCAATGTGAAGGCCTCAGCTGCCGGTGAGTCTCGTCTCAGCTGGTAGATGACCTGAGCGTTGGTGTCAGAGTCTCTGTCGGTGGCACTGACGGTGGCCACCAGCTGAGGTGGGTTCTGGGCCTCCAGGATGCTGGCGTTGTATATGGCCTGAGAGAACACGGGGGCGTTGTCGTTGTAGTCGGTGACGTTGACCACCAGTTGGGTGACGGAGGTGAGGGGAGGGTCGTCAGTGTCTTCAGCAGCGACCCACACCTCGTACCGTGATGCCGTCTCATAGTCAAGGCCGTACTGAGAGATCCTCAGTTCCCCCGTCTTGTCGTCCACTGTGAACGCCTGACCCACGTTCCCGCCGGCGATGCTGAAGCGCACGGTGCCTGATGGTCCGGCCTTGGGGGACGTGGCCGTCAGAGTGGTGACAAGGTCTCCCCGCGCTGCCTCGCTGAAGCTGAATGTCTTCTCTAGAGGCTCGAAGACAGGAAAGAGGTTGTCGGGTTGGAGGTAGACCTGGAGTCTGGCTGTGGTGGAGAGGGGCGTGTCGCCTGAGTCAGTGGCCAGGACCTCCAGCTGGTATTCTCCCTCCCCCGCCAGGGCTGTCGACGCCTTGATCACTCCCGTCTCCTGGTTCATATAAAACTTGTCGGCGTCGTTGCCAGAGAGGTAGTAGGTGACCCTCCCGTTCACACCTTCGTCAGGGTCAAGAGCCTCGCCCCCAAACACGAAGTTACCTGGAATGAGACACACAAGAGGCTCAGTAAGTCACCGCCACTCGCTCAAGACCCAACACTGTACAGTACTAATGTAAGTCAACACACGAGAATAAATAATAAATGGCTGACCATGACTCATAACGATAACAAGCCACCATTATCTGCCACATACAAGGGAGAGAGGGTGAAGGAGGAGAGGGAGGGAGAGGGGGTAGAGAGGGAGAGTGAGGAAGAAAGAGGGTCAAGTAGGTGAGTGAATGAAGGAGAGGTGCGAGTCGAAGAGTCGGGGACCACGAGGATGAGTACTTAGAGGAAGAAGAATGAGTAAAGGATAAATGATGAAGGAGAGATGAGCAAGAGTGAGTAAGAAAATGTGAGAGAAAGAGGGAAGGAAGTAAAGGAAGAAAATACAGGTGAGGGGAGTAAAGAAAGGTTAGTAACACGGGTACAGTAAGGGCCTCACCTGGCGCCATAGGGTCAGGGACGTGGATGAGGTACTGCCCCTGGGAGAAGGTCGGAGCGTTGTCGTTCTCGTCCAGCACCGTCACCCTCACCTGCACGACACGACACGACACGTTACAACACAGTCAAGGAAAAACACTTCTCTTGTAACATACATACATATATACATACATGCAAATAAATCACTGTAAGTGCGCGTGATCCATGTTTATGTTTCATATGTGGTTATCAGCACATACTTACACACATATCTATGATATAATCATTAATCAAACGCCTGGTAAATGTGTATAAACAAATCAATTATTATTCAGAAACAAATTTAGCCGAACTGAGAGAAATCTGGCTATAAGTCTCGTAAAGTGTGAATACAAATACTGAAACTGTACACTGACTGACTCTTGCAATATATATAAACGAAGCTTAAACAAAAATATACAAACTGTACAGCCTCTCTTTTACTCATTACAACTCTCGTAAAGTGTGGAGAAAACTTAACAAACTGTTTGGTGTGTAAATACTAACTCTTACAAAGTACAAAGGCACATACAATGTTTACAAGTGTACAGTAACTCTCGCAAAGTGTGGAGAAAACTTAGTAAAACTGTGAGGTGTATGTAAACACTAACTTACCCAGGCCACTAAGGAAAAAATTCGTTGTTTACTTGTGAATGGCAACTCTTGTAAAGTGTACAGGAAAATAACCCAATTGTTTGCAGCCTCATCCATGCCAGGGACCGAGAGGAAAATAAACATTGCAAACTGTGCTGAGGAAGGTGATGTGACTAACCTGTACCGAGGAAAGTGACATGACTTACCTGTGTGGTTGCTGACCGGGGTTCTGTGAGGGAAGAGTCTTGGGCCCCCAGTACCAACAAGTACTGTCCCACACTCTCACGGTCCAGCTTGGCTACTGTCCTGATGATGCCAGTCCACTCCTCCACCACGAACACTCCTGCTGCGCCTTCCACCAGAGAATACCTGTAGAGGGTGAGGGCGGTGTTTAACATTAGGGGATACAGGTGTGTTCTCGCAGGTAAATAATATAATTTAATATGAACTAAAACTTACTTAGAAACTATTAAATTTGAGCATTTAAGTAATAAGTACAGGTAAAGTGGACTTGATCATTTAAGTAATAAGTACAGGTAAGGTAAGTCTTATTTGATAAGTCTCTTAAGTTAGATGACCAAATAGTGTTGTCATCTACCTGTAATTAAGAGGTTCGTAGATTGTTGCCATAGTTAACAGGTGAGTCTTTGAGAATTGGGGCCCTGAATTGTGGTAGTCATGTCCCTGAATTGTGGTAGTCGTGTCCCTGAATTGTGGTAGTCGTGTCCCTGAATTGTGGTAGTCGTGTCCCTGAATTGTGGTAGACGTGTCCCTGAATTGTGGTAGTCGTGTCCTTGAATTGTGGTAGACGTGTCCCTGAATTGTGGTTATCGTGTCAGTATATACTATGTGGTAGTCGTGTGAGTAATTGTGGTAGTCGTGTCCTTGAATTGTGGTAGTCGTGTCCCTGGCCTGCGTCAAGAGCATCATCCTGCAGAAGGTCTCCCAATTAACTTACCTGATCTTAGCGTTAGCACCTGCGTCTCTGTCAGTAGCGGCCACAGCGATTACCTGAGTGTCGGGATCTACTGACTCACTCACGGCGGCTTCGTATTGGTCCTTGTCAAACCTGGGGGCGTGGTCGTTCTCATCCTGCACCAATACGGAGATGGTGCCCGTCCCTGTGAGTCGTGGGGTGCCTGAAGAAGTAGCAGAAGGTGAGGGTGTTAGTTGTCGGTGATTTTATTTTGTATTGGTTATTGTCGACAAACATAATTACTACTGTCGACAAACGCTTATAGTTATTGTCGACAAGCATATAATTACTACTGTCGACAAATAAATACTGAGTACTGTCGACAAACACATAATGACTGTCGACAAAGGCCCCAAACTACTGTCGACACAGAGCTCCTCTATAAGACCAGCCTCGACGGGGTGACACAAAACTCCTCGTAATACTGATAACAAAATGGTGATTACCTCATGACTTCTTAACCATGGTGAGAGAGAGAGAGAGAGTAACATTCACTATCAATTCCAAAGCTCAGAAAAACCTTCCAATTTCTTAACTCGCCCCAAACACCTGATGTCACTGATATCATTTCACTTGTGACGTCACTGTGGTCACCAAACTCTCCCTCGGATAATGATGTAATGATGAGGGATAATAGTGATGATGATAATGAAGGAATAATGATGGTGTATAATGAGTATAAATGGTGATATAATGAGATGACGTTGATACACTCTCACTCTCTCTCTCTCTCTCTCTCTCTGTCACAATGGCTCACTTTCTCACTCTGTCTCTCACTCACTCACTTTCTCTCTTACAATCTCTTTCTCTCTCAGTCATTTGATCTCCCTCTCTCTCTCTCTCACGTTCTCTCAATTTCACTTTTACTTAACATTTGCCACTTGAGGGAGTAATGGGGTGCGGGGGTGGGGGGGGGGTAGGGGGGTACACAGGTATTTGATGTGGGTGTGGCTCTCTCTCTCTCTCTCTCTCTCTCTCTCTCTCTCTCTCTCTCTCTCTCTCTCTCTCTCACACATCACGCCTCTAAATTATCTCACTTAACCTATCTCTTAACGAGGCTTCATTTAGAGATAAAAAAGTCTGAAGCCAACCATAATTGAAGCCTTTTTAGTGGGTTAAGACGAGTCATAAATGGTTACATAACGAGAAGCTTCGTGGCTGAACAACGAAGCCTCACATAACGGTTCGAACGCTGCTTCACCTCTCCCCTATACACGATAATTAATACAACACAAACACCAGAAAAATCACAATAAACAAACATTTCTTTTATTGTTGTTATTTTTATTATTAACATCTAACAAGTTCTCAACAAGGTCTCATTAACGACTGAACTACATCATTACCGGAAGTTGGCCAATGAGGAGGAGGAGTAGGTTAAGAGGTGAGGTAAATTAGTGAAGCGTGGAGGAGCGGTGGTGAAAGTGGTTAGTGGCAGAGAGGGGGGTGAGGGGGGGGAGGGGTCAAGTAGTTAGCAGTCATGGATGTTGTTATGTTTGGGGGAGGGGGGGAGGGGGACTCAGCTCACAACGGCCCCGCCCAACCCCCCCCCTACGCCCCCCCTCCCCTCTCTCCATGCTCTACACCCCTCACCTCCTCTACCTCTACCTCTACCTCGAAGAAGAAGTGATTAACAGCATTATTAGCGACAACAGCACGAGAGAGAGAGAGAGAGAGAGAGAGAGAGAGAGAGAGAGAGTCAACACATGCTTCTCTCTGCATTAATTACGTTCCTCACACAACTTTCTATTTGGTCAAGACTGTCACGCTGGCCCTCCTCCTCCTACTACTCTTCCATCTTCCTTCTTTCCCCCTCCTCCTTCCCTCCCTCTTGCTCCTTCTTCCTTATTCATTCTTTCCTCTTCCCTTCTTCCTTACCCCCTTCCTTCTTTTCCCTCCCTCCTTCCTCCTCCTACTTTCCTCTACCATCTTCCTTCTTCTTCATTTCCTCCTTCTCCATTCTTCTTAGCAGGTTAGGTTAGATAAGGCTGACCACCACCACCACTACCCACCACCACCACAACCACCACCACCACCACCACCACCCACCACCACCCACCCCCCACCCCCCACCCCCACCCACCACCACCCACCACCCCACCACCACCACCACCCCCCACCACCACCACCCCCCCACCACCACCACCACCACACCACCCACCACCCCACCCCACCCCACCCCCACCCCACACCACCACCACACCCCACCCACCACCACCACTACCACCACCCACCCCCACCCCCACCCCACCCCACCCCCACCCCACCACCACCACCCCACCACCACCCCACCCCACCACCACCACCACCACCCCCACCCACCCCACCCCACCCCCACCCACCACCACCCACCACCACCACCACCACTACCACCACCCACCACCCCCACCACCACCACCACCCCCACCCCCACCATTGAGTCGTGCATCAGAGAGTGTTATATACAACAGCGTAAAGTTTTGTTTACGTGTTGTTGTGAGGGGAAATGACCCCACCCCTCGTGTGACCTCTTCGTGACCCACCCCCTCGTGTGACCTCTTCGTGACCCACCCCCTCGTGTGACCTCTTCGGACCCCACCCCTCGTGTGACCTCTTCGTGACCCCCCTTAACACGATGGTACAAGGCGCCCAATGGTCACACACGTTGCCACCCTTCACCGTCACTGTCTCGTAATGTGAATAACAAAGTGTGAGGCCAGACATACTGCCTCACACGCCTGTTCTCACGCATTTGTGAATAAGTTACCCTTTATGTATAGAACTAAACAAATAATGTAAATGAAATACTGTGTAACATTCAGTGCCATAATATCCTGACAACCGGGGTTAATTATTATGACCCTTTGTAAACCCTACTCTGTAATCCTTTTGCGCTACCGCTCACAGGATGAGTGTGGGGTGCACAATAAAGTAGCCGCTGCAAGCGGCAAAATAAAAAATCAAAATCAATGTCTCTCCCAGGATGCGGGGTAACGGCGCAGCATGGTGGGGAACACTGCGCACGTATTAAGTACCGCGCACATATTGGTTAGGTTAAGTTGGGTTAATTAAGAAGGTGTTCGGTTAGGTTAGGTTAGGGTACAATGACTGGGGGTGGGGGAAGGGGGATTGGACTCACACCTTCATCTGTCACCTGCGACCATGGCTAATTAAGAGTAAGGATGACACCTGGTCATTAGCGCATCATTAACTCGGTAAACACAAACAGTAGTAAATTAAGAGACTAATTAATGACGTATAGGCAGTGTGTCTAATGGCGTAGTTCGGGGAGGAGGGTGGACTAATTACCCTGGCACGTCATTAGAAGAAGCAGCAGCAGGTATAAGGCTGAGTAATTGACAATAATGAGTAATTAGGTAAAGGGAGGTGGAGGAGGAGGAGGTGAGGTGTGGAGGGGGAGGAGGGGGCAGGAAGGGGGTAGGAGGAGGGGGTAGGAGGAGGGGGAGGAGGGGTGTGTTGTGTGTGTGTGTGTGTTTGTGTGTGCCAATTAGTCATATTTCCGCTCTAAATAGGCCAGGCGGGGATGTAGAGAAGGGGTAGGGGAAGAGGAGGGGAAGAGGAGGGGGAAGACGAGGTAGGCTTACAGGTGGTGAATGAGAGTGGTTGGGACACACACCACACGTTCACAGATCATTAATTAAAAGCTACCAGGTAGACAGCTACGTGTGTGTGTGTGTGTGTGTGTGTGTGGTGTGTGCGTGAAGGAAGGTAGGTGGTATAGGGTGGGGACAAGAAAGAAACAAAAACAAAGAAAATAACATCTTCCATTTTTACTCTTTGTATTATTATGAATATCTTCCCCCCTCCTCCCCTCCTCCCCCCTCCCCCATCGTGAGTGCCCACCTGGACTAATAAAATACCTGGTTATAAGACTCTGGTACCTATAAGACTCGCCAGGTACCTCTATAAGACTCGCCAGGTACCTCTATAAGACTCGCCAGGTACCTCTATAAGACTCGCCAGGTACCTCTATAAGACTGCAGCTTATAGCTCGCAGGTACCTCTAGCCATGCCTTGTCAGGTACCTCTATAAGACTCGCCAGGTACCTCCTATAAGACTCGCCAGGTACCTCCTGCCGGTCCTTAAGACTCCCAGGTACCTCTATAAGACTCATGAGTACCTTATAAGACTCACCAGGACCTCTATAAGACTCACAGGTACCTCTATAAGACTCGCCAGGTACCTCTATAAGATTTCAGGTACTCTATAAGACCTCAGGTACCTCTATAAGACTCGCCAGGTACCTCTATAAGACTCACCAGGTACCTCTATAAGACTCACCAGGTAACTCTATAAGACTCGCCAGGTACCTCAGTGAACTAGGAATTAATAAAACTCTGAGAATAATAAGCATTAAAGGTATATCGAGTGAGAAGTCTTATATATTTGTGTGTGAGGGGGTCGGAGGGGAGGAGGGGGGTCACTAGAGGGATGGGAGGAGGGGAGGGGTGACTAGAGGAGGGGGTGGGTATCTTGAGGCTATTTATAAGACAACCAGATTACACGCTTCTTACTGAGATCATTTTGCTGAGAGAGTCTTACCTATGGGGGGGGGAGGGGGGAGGAGGGGGTGAGGGGAGGGGTGTGGAGGAGGAGAGGGGGTGGAGATGGTTAAGTTGGCAAAGAAGACTCACATGGTAGGGGAGGAGGAGGAGGAGGAGGAGGAGGAGGAGGAGGAGGAGGAGGAGGAGGAGGAGGAGGAGGAGGAGGAGGAGGAGGAGAGAGAGAGAGAGAGAGAGAGAGAGAGAGGTGTTTGAGTGTTTGTTGCTGCAAGTTCCACCTGCTGGTTGTTTGGAGTACGGGAGGAGTAGTTCTGTTCCTCTTACACCCACCTCCCTCCTTCTGCTCTCCACACAGGCTGCCTGTAACCAACAATCGTCCCACAGATTCAAGTTCGTAAAATTAATAAAACGTCGAGTGTGTGTGTGTGTGTGTGTGTGTGTGTGTGTGTGTGTGTGTGTGTGTGTGTGTGTGTGTGTGTGTGTGTGTGTGTGTGGATGGGGTTAGTTAGGTTTGGTAGACCATCATTACAGGTAACGAAAAAGACGTAAACGTAATCATCACCTGTAGTTATTACCCCCACCCGTAGCACACCTGTGTTGGCCACCACCACCACCATGAACCACTAGTTTAACCACACCACTATGAGTATCCATCTGTCT